GCCAGAGGATGGAGCCAGGGACCTTCATGGCAGTGGGAGAGACACAGACCCATAATGTTATCTGTGCTCTATGTACAAGCATTCTCCCGAGGTGATGGGATGGGGGAAAGACTGTCTGTCCAAGGAAAGGAAGAAAATGAAAGGGAAGACAGTAAGAGATAGACAATCTCGTTTTTCCTTGTTTTTCTTGTCCGTGACGAGAATGGACACAAATTCCTTTCTTTCAGTTGAGGAATTTATTAAAGCAGAGCATAAGAACTTGAATAGACTTCAAAAATTCTACTGTAAAACTATTAACCATTTGCTTTTTTCGGGGTAATCTTAATGCTGAAAAGAATGCTGTAGCTATGAAGTTTCATCATAACCTCCATTCCCAGAACCAGGTTGCACGAGAGATATCATCTGAAGTAAAAGACAGGAAAGTTTTAAAATGTAAAATATCACTGAATGTTTTCTTAGCAAGTTTTCAGAGGCCATCACATCTATTAAACAGAAAGATAATTTACATAAGATTTTAATCTACAACTATTTCTTTAACATAATAAACATAATTGCTCAATTTAAAATCACATTGAACATAACCAACAGTAAATTAGACAAGTCAGAAAACCAATTTGTCAACTCTATAAAAATTCAAGAAATAGTCCAGAATTCTTAGGAAGCAGAAAGATATTTAACATGTGAGAAAAAGCTATTACCACAATAGCAGCTTTATTCCCAATGGCCCCAAATTGGAAAATATTCAACATCCATCAACAATGCAATAGATAAATGATTGTGTTGCATTTATGTAACAGAATACAATATAGCAAAAAATGTAATTTCCAACACAGATATTTTAAATATAAGATTGAATAAAATATAGTAGACACAAAATTATACGGTATGTAGTCAGAATAGTGATTAATTTGGTAGCATTATGTATTTACTCTGAGGGAGACATGAGGAAGGCTTTTGGAATTCTGAAATCTATATCTTGATCTGGGTGATGATTATACGAGTATATTCATTTCAAAAATTCATTTGGCTGAACACTTAAGATTTGTGCAGTCTATGTATTTTATACCTCACTTAGAAAGCTTAGAATGTAATGACAAGTATCTTACTTGACAAATGATCTATTGCTGTGTAACAAACCACTCCAAAAGTTAGTGATTTAAAGGAACAACATATTATTATCTCTTGTGGTTATGTAAAAGGGCTCAACTGGACAGTTCTCACTTAGGGATGCTCACATAGTCACTGTCAGTCACTGAGGCTGGAGATACCTGAAGGCTCAACTAGGCTGGATATCCAAGGTGACTTTTGTGTGCCCCTGTTGGTTCGTTACCTGGGATGGCTGCAGTAGCTGTGGACCCGCTGAGCATGTCGCTCTGTACACAGCCTTCGATGTGATTAGATGGACTGTCTCACAGCATGGTGGCCTCTAGGCAGCTAAAGTTTTTGCATGGTAGTTGACCACCCTAAGAGGGAGCATTCAAGAGACCCAGATGTGGTCAGCTAGGCTCCTTACAGCCCAACCTGGGAAATATGCAGTGTCACCTCCACCACAATCCAGCCAGCTCAGATTCAAGAGAAAGGCACTCATGGGAAGGTGATCACTAGCCAGTGTGCTTCATCAGGCTAGTATCTTTGAAGACCAGATACCACACCACAGTCATTTGAATGTGTGTCGTTACTTGGTACTCTTAGTTTTTCCCTGCTGCTCTTTTTGCATTGGAGTCCTTTTGGGATGACATCAATAAAACTATTTCATGTTTTTAAGATTGTATTTGTCTAGTGTTTCTTTTTCAACCTTTCTACATGTAGCCTTTTTATTGTTTTTATTCTTCAGGTGGGTATTTCATAAGCAGTGTGTATTTTTTCAGCCTCATGATTTATACAACTAGAATCCTCAGTCTATTGTCTTAAATGTATTTCTGTATAGCTTTCTATAGCAGGTGATTTCCTGGGTTTTGAGTCATGGTTCTTATTTGGTTTTGTACATTAGTCTTTCTCACATTTTGGTTTCTTCTTCCCTCATGCATGACCTTATTTTTGTTGACTATTTTTCTCATTTCATTATTTTGTCTTTCCGAAGTCCACAATTCATTTTCATTTTTTGATGATTAACTAACATTTTATTATATAATTATATTAAGAAAATCTGAGATTAGTCTTATCTTTATCCTTCTCCTGAAGCCTATGCAAACTTTAGAACAGTTAACACCTATGGTTCTCTTCATGATTTCCAACATTTTGGAGAGTCAGAATGTTAAATCTGTCTAACTATAATAACTAGAAGTATTATTGTTTTGTTTTACCAATACTTAATTACAATTACCTACCTATGTGTTAACCATCATCTTTAACCGTCATTGTTTTTGCACAAAACTTTAGTATACCAACTCAGAGCAGAAAGAGGATCCATCATATTCTGTGTCTGCCCTATTAAGCATGCTTCTTTGCTGCATGGCCTTTGATTCCTGGTAGCAGATTTAACCCAGGCAAAGATGTAGAGCCCTATTATGGGCTATCAGACCCCAATACCAAGGCTTTTCTTGTGCCACAGCCCTTTGATCGCAGGCCACTGACTCTAACTTCTATCTCCTTTTCCAACAGTTCTCATGGATACTAAAGTCCCCCAGACACCAAGAAAATTGGTCACATTGACTAATTTTAAGAGATGGCATTGCAGTAGTCTCAGAAAATGAAAAGTCATAGCACATACTAGCTATTGACAACGTATGGCTTGGCCTATGGCAAACCCATGACACAAATGGAAGTGTCAGGGAAGAAAAACCACCATGAGCATTAAGGAACAAAAGAGGATAGTATAGGAATTAGGTCTGACACAATCTGGGGAGAAGATGGATAACTGAAAGTTTAAAAAGGGTCAGAAAAAACAACTCTAATAAGCTCTGGTGAAGGTGGATGAACTGGACTTTGCATTAAGTTTTGCATTAAGTTGGGTATATCCATGTACTACACGGAACCCTGAAGGGGATGGTGTAGGAATTTATGGAAGACGGCTGACTCTATGTGCCAACAGCCCTGTGAGTTCTCAGAAAAGTTTGGTGATGGGACTGCAGTCCCTCCTGGTCGGCAGAGATGGCAGTCAGTATAAAGAGCTGGATGTGAAACAGGGGAAAGTCAGCATAAATTGGAACTCATTGGCACTTTTGATGCTACTTCTCACTGCCTGGAGCCAGTGATGACTTCATAACTCAGTGGCAGCTGTTTTACTTTCCCCTTACAAACTTCATGCATTTCTTCCCCCATGATCAACTCTAACCTGGAACCATACTAGGAAAAAGTTATCTGAAACATCTTCCTTGCTTAGCCAGGTTGACACAGTGATAAAACACCACAGGAATATCCAGATGCTCCTTGACTTGCAGTGGGGTAATATCCTGATAAATCCAGCATAAATTGAAAACATCATAATTCAACTTACAATATCCAGCTTATCTGTACATAACCCCATCATAAGTCAAGGAGCACACTGAAATGCATGTTGCTTTAGCACCACTGTAAAGTTGAAAAGTCATTAAACCATCATGAGACCATCTGTACCTGACAATTAGTGTTTCTCAAAATAAATAGAAAGATTTTCTTCTGATCTGAAGGTCTTCCAGCCACTCTCTCCCAAACATATCATAATATTGGGCCAGAGGTCACCCATCGCAAGCTGTCCTTACTTTTTGCAGAAAAAGTAGTTAGCACTATGAAGTGGCCTCATTTTAATGAGATCCAACATACCCAGGAAATAAAAAATGCAGCCACAGGAGCATACAGATGCCCTTCAATAGATATGCCAATATTAACATAATGCAATAGCTATATTTGTTATGATAAAACGATTCCACAATTGCACAAACATAATATGATGGGCGAAGTCTTAATCTTATCTTTTCTAGCTACCTATGCCAGAGAAGAACCAAATATTAAATGAAAGCATAATTGGGAGGCTGTTATAAAAATGAAAACACAGGACTTTCAGAATAACTTTCCAGCTCCTTGTACTTCTTGTAATTGCTACACGTTTCCAATGTTGATCCATTAAAACAAGTATCCCAGCATGTTCAAATCAAAGAATTTCTCATGCCTCCTAGAAACTATTTTCACTGCCCAGTACTTAGTATGATCTCCATTACAATAGAATAAATGTAATTATTCTCACAACCTCAACAGTGATTAACATGGAAACATACAAGCTAAATCGAGAAATAATATTAGAATGTTTAGAATTGAGTCCATCTATATATGAGGAAAATTGTTATGAGATACTCATGAGGTAACTGTCTCATTTAGAAAATGATGAAGTGGCTTCATTATGATTATGAAGAAACATTGGACTTCCAGCTGAGGCACTGGCCTGGGCGTTATCAATATTTATGGCAGTTCCAACCTGAAGGTCTAGTGATTAACCACCATGAGTTGTCTTGGTGTGATTGCTTTGAGGATATGAAACAGAAGCAGCAAACAGATTCCAATGCCATTCATTACCCAAACACACACTCATTTCCTTATAAGAAACTCACTTAAGTCATTGCAATGCTCTATATCTCAGTGTATCTGTAATAAATTTAGAAGTTGATTTGGGAAATCTTTAGGCCACTTTGGGCAATGTATGAGTTTTTGTTTTGTTTTGAGACGCAGTCTCATTCTATCACTCAGGCTGGAGTGCAGTGGTGCGATCTCAGCTCACTGCAACCTCCGCCTCCCAGGTTCAAGCAATTCTCTACCTCAGCCTCCCAAGTAGCTGGGATTACAGGCGCCTGCCACCACACCTGGCTAATTTTTGTGTTTTTAGTAGAGACGGGGTTTCACCATGTTGGCCAGGTTGGTCTTGAACTCCTAACCTTGTGATCCACCCGCCTCTGCCTCCCAAAGTGCTGGAATTACAGGCGTGAGCCACCGAGCCTGACTTGTACGGTTCTTTGATAGGCAGAGAGATGGATGTAACACTGGTCATGGGCAAAGATTACCACCAGGGGGCAGACTAGAGCATCCTTGAGATTCTGTGATCAGTCATCCCTCCTCGCTGGTGAATGGAGACAGTGGTCACAACTCTCCCCGCAGAAGGTGGTGTGGGGCCATCACCGAAGATGCTGTTGCTTCTGCTGCTTCTGGGGACAGGTATGAGCCTCCTTCTACCTGGGAGCTTCAGTAGGCATGTGCGTGTGTTGGCACGGTCAAGTGGTGGCCAGGCAATGTGGATTGTTTATGCTCATCAAAGGGAGAGGGAGCGGCCCTGCTCTCTAGAGGTGTAAACGGTAAGGTGAGAGCCACCGGTCAGAGGAGATGGGGGATTATGGCCCTAGGGAGATGACAGAAAGATTACACAAAACAAACAGGATTCTCCAGGAGCTGGGAGCACAGGGAGGGAGTGAGGCTCAGCTCTGCCTGTCATCCTGTCTGACTCGGGTCCTACTGGGCTCTCCTCTCTCTGGCTTCTGTTTTTAGCAGGCTCCGGGCTTGCTGCTGTCGTCTCTCAATATCCAAGCAGGGTTATCTGTAAGAGAGGAACCTCTGTGAAGATCGAGTGCCGTTGCCTGGACTTTCAGGCCACAACTATGTTTTGGTATCGTCAGTTCCAGACACAGAGCCTCATACTCATGGCAACTTCCAATGAGGGCTCCGGCGTCACATACGAGCAAGGCGTCAAGCAGGACAAGTTTCCCATCAACCATCCAAACCTGACCTTCTCCACTCTGACAGTGACCAATGCCCATCCTGAAGACAGCAGCTTCTACATCTGCAGTGCTAGAGACACAGCACCAGGAAGGGATCAGAGACCGCGGCAAGAACCCCCTGCAGCTGCCCCTCTGCCCCAGGGGGGCCCCTGAGTGCTGAGAGGGGAGGCGTGGAGATGGAAAACCACAGCTTTCCTGACTGAGACATCTGGGTGTGTGTGTGACATCTGGGTGTGTGTGTGTAGGGGGTGGGGCGGGGTGGGGGGAGAGAAAGAAAAGAAGCCCTGTGAGTGTGGATAGTGGAGGAGCTGTAGTGTTTGAGACCCATGAAATGGCCATAGAGTTGGGCCTAAAGTGGTCAGTGGACGTGGAAGCTTCCCTGAAAATTATAAAACCTGGAATTTTGCCCTGACTCTGCCACATTAGTCATGTGCTCTTGAATAGATCTACACAGAATCCTAGAGGTAGATATGAAGACAGTTGTATAATCACTGTGTATTTCCTATAATAAACTTCAGCGATTGGCTTTCTTGTCATCATGCTGGGCTCTCAAGACAAGGATAACCAAGAGGCAGCCAAGTAGACAGTTATGCATGAGTACGTTACCTTAGGGGAGGACGGCAACAGCATTGAATAGCACCCACTTCAAATTTGTGTTCAGTCCTCCTTGGACCAGGACCACCAAAATAAAATCCTATCACATTTCCTGTAAATGTTGAATGCCATCATGTTCTCCATGTTGTTTCGGTTGATGAATGAACAGAGTAAGACTCGGTACAAAGGAAGGAGAGCACCCTCTATGCCTAGGTACACACGATATGGAATGTATCCCTAGGGAAGGTGCTGGTGAGCTGGCTTCTGGGAAAGGTGTCAAGGGGAAGAGCGGGCAGAGGTACCTAGAAGGAAGATCTCAGACAACATGGCTTGTCTACAGAGTTGGAAAGTTCTGCCAGTAGCTAGAAGACAGTAAGTGGAACAGTGAAAATCCTTCCCTAGGAGAAACCAAATATTTACATTGACCACAAATCTGTATGAGCCAATAGAAAATGAGCAAAACATGATCATACATTTAATAGAAGAAACATGTATGACCAATAAACATATAGAGATATTTTACTGCATTGATGATCAGGATAATATGAAGCAAGACATAGTGATACATAGCCTTATATCCGCTTGATTAGCAAAATATAAAAAGTTTAGAAATATAAAATGTTAGCAAGGGTATGGATTCATAGGATTACTTATAAATTACTGATGGGAGCATAAGTACTATAAACCATTTGGAAACAGTTCAGCATCATCTCATAGTTGAAGATTCCTATGTCCCATGACTCAGCAATTCCACTCCTAGATTTACATCAGGAGAGGCTCTTGCATACATGACTCAGCAATTCCACTCCTAGATTTACATCAGGAGAAGCTCTTGCATACACATATCAGAAGATATAAATACAAAAGTGTTCTTAACAGCACCAAACAGTAGAAAAACATGGCACCAAGCCACATATGCACCGAGAAGAGTGAATGAATAAACTGTGGCATATTCATATGAGTCAAAATGAATGAACTATAGTGAAGAGCAAGGTTATAGGTGAATCTTAGCAATATAATAGCAAATGCAAAAACTAAGTCTAATGAGACTATGCAAAGCCTAATGTGCTTTTCATAAAGCTAAAAACAAATAAGTCAAGAAAATAATTTTCAGGAATAAAATAGGTCAAATTTTATTGAAAGGAAAGCAAAGACCAGTCATATGCTGGAGCCTACCTTATCAGCTCATGGGAGCTGACTGTATACATTTTTCCCAACTCCAGTTTTAGTGACATCATTTTGTTAGCTTGAAACTGGCAATAGTGAGGGTATTTACACTACAGAAATCAGCAAACACAATAAATTACAGTTTTGCTTTATTTTCCTCCAGAGAGTTAGTTGTCAACCCTTTACCAACACACTACTGGCAGGGAATAATAGTGACCCAAGTTCAGGATTTTTATAAGGCTGGGGCATGGCAGGAGATAGAATGAGAGAGAGCTACATAGCTATACATTTAAATATTGTCAAGGTCTGTCTTGCATAATGTTGAGGAGGAGATGTTTTACAAGTTCCTATTATATTTTTAAATAAATAAATAACTATTCATTGACAAGCAATGCCTATGTGTTATGAACCACAGGTTAAGATAAATAAAATTGTATGCATATAGAATCAAAAAGAAGAGAAAATAAAACAAATAAATGAATAGATTAGAGTTCTTACAAGAAAAGGATCAAGAGCATTTTATAGTCAAAACCAGGAGTGAAATAGCAGTGGCTCAACTGCTACCATCCTTATACAGACATCTGCTGCTGAATTAATCACGGCAGACAACCTGCTACCCAATAGACCTGGACCCTTGTCAACCCCTTTGCAACAGGGAGCAAGGGTTTAGACACTAAGGGTGAACGTGAAAACATGGAGATGACACCTGGCCCCTGACCAAGGTGGAACTGACTGGAATAAGATGGGAGCCAAGTCCGCAGCGCACACGCTGCTGTTTTTCATCTCCGCTATGACCATGTGTTGCTGGTGGTTAAATACCCTACCTGGGTTCAGTCACCTCAGACTGTGCCATTGTCACCGAACTCACGGACCCATTTTAGTTGTAGCCTTTTACTCTGTTAGTGTTTTCAGCCTGGAGAACAGAGCTAGTAAAATACTTTAAAAATATTCCACTGCTCACTAATGGCATGGAAAAGACAAGAGCTTTTAAGGCTCTGGCATGAAACAGGGAGACAGTGGTTACATTCCTATTTCATGCAGTCACTATTTCCCTCTGCATTAAGCCGAGGAGTGTAGTGTTTCAGTGACATTTAGCATGGAACAGTGCTGGGTTCAGACCTGCCTTTCCCAAACCAGCTGGCTATCAAGGACACAGCCTACTGCCTACCTACATTACCTTAGGAAAGAAGACAACAGCGTTGAACAGCATTCAGTCCAAATTTGTGTTCTGTCTTCCTTGGACAAGTACCAACAAAATAAAATCCTATCACATTTCCTGTAAATTTTGAATGCCATACATTTTTGATGAGCAATTATTTTTGAAGTGTTGGACTTCCTGTTCTGATTTAATATTCTACTCTCTGGGCTTTGTTGTATTTGAAATCAAGTTCACCTTTCAGAGGCAGTGATGGGTGAGGTAAGAGACAGACTCTTACATCGTCCTACCCGATACACACACACACACACACACACACGGAAGCACTGTGTTCCCCAGTAATGGAGAAGCCATGGGGAGAATTTCAGAGGTTTCAAGGGAGCTAGGGTTTTCTAATTCCTCTATATCCTTGGATATCCCCATTCTTAATGTCAAAAATTAATCTCTGGAGCTGGTTTCCAGGAGTCTGAACCCATTTGCTACAGTACATGTATCATCTCAGGCATCCAAAGGTGAATATTTGATTAGCTACTTCACAACTTCATACCACTGCTGCTGTTTTACCATTCTGGAATGTGGAAAGCAGCGTGACTCCTATTAACTGACCAGTAGTCAATTTCAACTACCCATAAATATGTGAGTGTCTTTTATCTGTAATCTCCTATCTGGTGCCATTTTTGAAAAGCAGTTAAGACTCTTTTATTCTAAAAAATGAACTGTGTCTCACTTCTTGAAAGTAATTATTGATGAAATGCTCCCTGGAGAGTCTGAAGCCCCTGATATTGCATATTTAATGGTTATCCGCCTTTTAATAAAAGGTATGGGGATAAATTTTAAATATTATTCCTAAATACCTTACATCAAGATAAGCTAGAGTTAATTAAGTGGGACAAGAGATAATGAGTTCAAGGGCATTTAAGAAAGATTAAAGAACCAGTGCAAATGTTTTAATCAGGAAATAAATTGGTGTGTTTAATGACAGGAAAGAAGTCAGCAGCGTGGCAGCAGCAGGGGGAGGAGGCGGTTGAGTACAGAGCAAAATTGAAGAAGGCAGGAAGGCATCAGACCACTCACAACCTTACTGGTCAAGGTAAATGATACAGAATACAACACAAAGCTTAACAGGAGACATTGAGGTTTTCAACCTTTGACTTCTGTAGTAATCAGATTCATGGCTGTGTGTGTATCTGTGTATTTAATCACCCTGGTCACAAAGTGAAGAAATAATGGACCGTGCAGGGAAAGCAAAATGTTACCTCTACCCTCTTAGGGTTTTTCGGCTGGGCCTGAGAACGGAACAGATTAACAAGAGAAAAGCAAACACGTGTATTTAATATAAGTTTTACATTACATGAAAGCCCCCATAATTAAAGGAAGACCTGAATATGCAGTTAGAGTTGAACACTCATATACTGAATTGGGCAAAGAGTCATACATTGTTAAAAGGTGAAAAAGTAAAGGGGCTTTGGCTAGGGTTGCTGGTGGAATGGCAAAGTGATGAGGAAGGTGAGGGTTAGTTCAACAAGCTTTTTTGTACAGATTCCTTGGCCTCAACATCATCCCATTCTATCTTTGATGTTAAGAATATTCTTTCTTCCTGGTATAGATAAAACATTTTTTTATATGGGAGGTTTATTCCGTTTTTCAAGAAGAAAAGGGGAAGGATCAGAATACTCCTCTTATACCTGCTATTGTCTAAAGACATTAAAGGCATTAAAACGCCTCTAGCTCAAAATAATCCTTATGCCAAAGTGGCGTGTTTTGGGCAGAGAGTTGGGGGGCTTATGCTGCCATCCTCCAGCAGTGTGGACAGAGTTGATGTGGAGGGAAAATGTTAGCTCAGACAAGCAGTAGTTTAGCTCGGATAATGATGATGGTGTTAGAAATATGGGGAAAATGAGACATTGAAAAGGAAGTAAATCAAAGGACTTGGCAATTGGTTAGACATGAGCAGCAACATGCAGGGGGTGGAGGGTGATGATTAAGAGACTGCTACAGACAGACAAATAAGGAGGACCAAGTGGGAAGAAGATCAAGATTTACTTTGAGATTGGGAGTGCCTTTGAGACAGTGATCTAACCAGGAATATGCACAGAGCAGTTGGATGTACAGTCATGGACTCAGAAAATGGATCTGGATAAGGAGTACACCTTTGGGACATTTAGCCTCACTGGAAGAATGAAAATGCCTCCAACCCCTTGATATAGAGTTTACAATGAAAAGAGCAGAGAACATAGAATAGAGATTTAGGGAGCACACCTGCCTTGGGGGACTATAAAAGGTTGAGGGAGGCAAAATGCACTGATAAACCACCATGGGCATTAGACTAATGGTCTAGACTAATGGCTGAGTCATGGTGTCAGTAATCACTAGTAACAATGCTGTGGAGTATGTGGCAGGTACCACACCAAGTGCTGCTTTTTTCTTAATTCCGCTCTGATGTTTGGGATGCCTCCTTGCTGCCTCGCTGCGGGGCGGGCCACTCCCGACTCATGCAGGCTGAGGCAGACCTCAGCGGGCATCGGATGAATTCGCTCCTTTGACCACTAGAGGGTGATGTGGATCTTTCTATAAAATATCTGCCACTCATCCAGTGTGGACTCCGAGCTTCACCAGATATTTCAGATGATATGCTTAGGTGCTGATTGACCGAAAAAATTGCAGATATCCTGGGAGGCCAATTGGTCTTTAAAAATGGCAGGATCTAATCTTAACATTTTGTAAAACCCTTAGCGTTTACCCATATCTGGCACCTGTAGTCATGTGATTTCTACATAATTGATAAACACATAAATGAATAATGCCGTGGTTTCTATTCAACATTGTGCTGAATTTGCAACCAGTGAAACAAGGGGAAAAAGTTGAAAATGAGAAAGGAAAGAAAAATAAATAAGTATTAGAGCATGACAAGCTTAGTTATAGAGATTCAAAAGGGTCTAAAGAAGCAATGCATTATCAATAACAAAATGTAGTAAGTTTACTGAATTTAACATAAATATAAACATTATTTTATTTTCACATACTAGAAGCAGTTAGGATGTTTCTTAACAAGGGAGACAATTTACAAATAATAATATAAAATATAAAATAAACACCTAAGAACAAATCTATTAGAAGACTAGCAAAGACTATCATGCAGAAAATTATTAAAATTTTAGGGGAATGAGGGTTGGGCACAGTGGCTCACGCCTGTAATCCCAGCATTTTGGGATGCTGAGGCGGGCAGATCATGAGGTCAGGAGTTCAAGACCAGCCTGGCCAGTAGGGTAAAACCCATCTCTACTAAACATACAAAATAATTAGCCAGGCGTGGTGGCACACGCCTGTAGTCCCAGCTAGTCCGGAGGCTGAGGGAGGAGAATGACTTGAACCCAGAAGGCAGAGGTTACAGAGAGCCGAGATCATGCCACTGCACTCCAGCCTGGGCAACAGAGCTAGATTCCGTCTCTAAATAAAGAAAGAAATAAATAAATTTAAGGGAATGATTTTAAAAGTTTGAAATAAGTCAGGTGTGATGGCTCACACCTGTAATCCCAGCACTTTGGGAGGCAGAGGTGGGCAGATCTCCTGAGGTCAGGAGTTCAAGACCAACCTGGCCAACATGGTAAAACCCCATCTCTACTAAAAACACAAAAAAATTAGCCGGATGCGGTGGCAGGTGCCTGTAATCCCAGCTACTTGGGAGGCTGAGGCAGGAGAATTGCTGGAACCCGGGAGGCGGAGGTTGCAGTGAGCTGAGATCACACCATTGCACTCCAGGCGGCTGGGCAACAGAGTGAAACTCCATCTCAAAAAAAAAAAAAACAAAAAAAAAACAGAAAAAGTTTGAAATAAGTAAAGATATACAACATGATCATGAAAAAGTGAATCCAATAATAAGGTTATTTCAATTTCTGCAGTGTTATCTATATATTCAATACCACAGTAGTCAAACTACAAAAGATTTATTTTATGATATTTGGCAAATAATCTACAACTAAGTGAAAAAGAACAAAAATAAGCAATATTTAAGAAGTACAAAAAGTTACGTGAATTGCTCTATCAATTATCAAATTATGTTATTTAGGATAATGAAAGGAGCATGATTAAATAGGCAAATGGAAAATGGAAAATGAAAAATGGGCCCATGAATATACAGGAATTTCACATATGACAGAGGTGTTATTAAAGCTATATGGAGGAATTATGTAATATACAAGTTATTCTGGAGCAGGTGGTTATCCATACAAGGAAAGATTAATTTAAAACTTACTTCACAATATATGCCAAAATAAATCACAAGTGGATTAAATGCTTAAATGCAAAATTCAGAACGTTAGGTGTTTTGGTAAATAATAAGGATTATATCTTCATGAACTTGGGCTATGGGAGATTTTTTTTTATAAAGAATTAAAAAACATGTTTACCCCAAATAAAAGAATAAAACATTCTACTAAATGAAGAAATCCAAAAGTAGCACAAAGAGAGTAAAGACATACACCACAAATTGGAAAGATATTAGCAACACACATAGCTGACAAAGGTTGGGTATCCAATCCAGAGTCTATTAAGAACTGTTATAAATAAATAATAGTTAATCAACCAAAAAGAAATATGGACAAAGGGCAGTTTACAGGCAACACTGGTGGCCTATAATACATAAAATATATTCAACCTTCTTAGCAACCAGAAAGAAGCAAACTAAAACTAAAATATTATGCCATGAGATAATTTTAACATACTAGACTGGCAAAATTAAAAGTATATTAAATAGCAACCGTAGTCTTAGATGTGGAACATTTGAACACACTCATGAGCTATTGGTGGGATCAATTATTTGGCTTAATCACTTTGGAAAGCATTTTGCTATGTTATGTTATGTAAAGTTGACATGTTGCCTTGAAGACTCAGTCTTTACACTGACAGGTATGGCAAGAATCTTGCACCTAGGTAAGCAGAGACATGTTCAAGAATACAATACTGTTTGTTAGCCAGGCACAACACCCAGGGAAAAATTAGTGTGCATTAACTCAAGAATGGAATTAAACAATCAAAGAATGGAATAGAATAATAAATTCTAGCCAATGAATAGAATGTAATACTAGAGAGCAGTGAAAGTAAATTGTCTAGATTACGTGTCAACATATCACAGACCTAATGTTGAATGAAAAATTAACATTATAGAAAATATATAAACTAGCCAATTTCTCTTAGATACATGTCAAAGACATGCAAAATTAAATACTACACCATTTACAGATTCTTGTGTAAATGCTAAAGACTATAATGAAAAGCAAGTGAATGACAAATTTAAACTTCAGGTTAAACCTACCTGAGCATGATGGAGAAACAATGAGGAAATCTAAGAGTAACATGGACTGAGAAATTCTCAGCAATAATCCAACTCTTAAGCTGATTGGTTCAGGCAAAGGTACTTCTCTATATACATTGCATATTTGTCATAAATATTGTTCTGTATAGTTCAACATTTAATTCTTTAATGTAACCGGGCACGGTGGCTCATGCCTGTAATCCCAACGCTTTGGGAGGCTGAGGGGGGCAGATTACTGGAGGTCAGGAATTCAAGACCAGCCAGTGACATGGTGAAAGCCTGTCTGTACTAAAAATACAAAAATTTGCCAGGTGTGGTTGTGGAGGCCTGTAATCCCAGCTGCTCGGGAGGCTGAAGCAGGAGACTGATTGAACCCAGGAGACGAAGGCTGCAGTGGGCCGAGATCACACCACTGCACTCCAGCCTGGGAGACAGAGCAAGATCCGTCTTAAATAAATAAATAAATAGATAAATAAATACTTAATGTAAAGCAGCTGCTATGTGATTTTTATAAGTGTGTCAAAAGCTACTATTTGTAAAGACCAACTTGTATGATTCCTTACCTGAGATGGAAGGGAGGAGGAGAAGAAGCAAAATCACAAGTTAAAAAACTAAACAGATTAGTTCAACCATTGTGGAAGACAGTGTGGCAATTCCTCAAGGATCTAGCACCAGAAATACCATTTGACCCAGCAATCCCATTACTGGGTATATATCCAAAGGATTATAAATCATTCTGCTATAAAGACACGTGCACATGTATGTTTATTGCAGCTCTGTTCACAATAGCAAAGACTTGGAACCAACCCAAATGCCTATCAATGAGAGACTGGATAAAGAAAATGTGACACATATATTCCATGGAATACTATACAGCCATAAGAAAAGGATGAGTTCATGTCCTTTGCAGGGACATGGATGAAGCTGGAAATCATCATTCTCAGCAAACTAACACAAGAACAGAAAACCAAACACCACATGTTCTCACTCATAAGTGGGAACAATGAGAACACATGGACACAGGGAGAGGAACATCACACATGGGGCCTGTCAATGGGTGGAGGGCTAGGGGAGGGAGAGCATTAGCAGAAATACCTAATGTAGATGATGGGTTGATGGGTGTAGCAAACCACCATGGCATGTGTATACCTATGTAACAAACCTGCATGTTCTACACATGTGCCCCAGAACTTAAAGCATAATACTTTTTTAAGTAAATAAATGTATGAGTGATTTTACCTAAAAAAATAGCAAAACAGTGAGTCACAGAAAAGGAAAATTAAAAGCAGGCTGGAACTTACACTTTTTTTAACAGCTAAAACAAAGCCTGCCCTCCTACATTTTATGAAATTGAAACGACTCTGTCCCATGTACAGAGCATCTACAAAGGCTATGGGAAGTGATCACGTCACAGGCAGGTTGCTGACGGGGGCGGGGGGAGCGGGTGAGGAAGCCTTACAGAAAAAGCTACCACCACGATTTCTGTCTGAGTAACCATGTGCCTCAGACTTCTCTGCTGTGTGGCCCTTTCTTTCTGGGGAGCAGGTAAGTCCCTGTTCTGAACTGGTTGAATTCCAGTTCCAAGACTCTCTCCTGTGGCTGCAGTATCAGCCTCCCTCCTGGGTTTTTTCTACAGCTGCTCTCTTCTTCCTCCACAGCCTCCACGGACACCAAGGTCACCCAGAGACCTAGACTTCTGGTCAAAGCAAACAAACAGAAAGCAAAGATGGATTGTGTTCCTGTAAAAGGACATAGTTATGTTTACTGGTATCGTAAGAAGCTGGACGAAGAGCTCAAGTTTTTGGTTTACTTTCAGAATGAAGAAATTATTCAGAAAGCAGAAATAATCAATAAGAGATTTTCAGCCCAATGTCCCCAAAACTCATCTTGTACCTTGGAGATCCAGTCCACAGAGTCAGGGGACGCAGCACTGTATTTCTGTGCCAGCAGCAAAGCCACAGTGCCAAATGTTAGCCCTTCTTAGAACACAAACTCCTTATGGACCCAGCTCAGGAAATAAGTGTGTAGCAGGTTGGTAGGCTCTATAATAACAGAAACCCAACTTGAAAGACAGTAAATCAGAAGGAAAAACTTGTAAACAACAGCTCTAAGTGAGTACAAACAAAGGGGGGTTATTTAAAACAACTGATGGGGACAAAACCCCAGGGAAGGGGCCAGAAGGCATAAAAAGCCTGGATACCTCAGTGTTCAGGATATTAGGTAAGATATACTAGGTTCCCTTTTCTCTCTCTTTCTATATGAGCTTTATGGATTTCTAACAATCCTTATACAAAGAATAGGATTCTGTGCTTTTCACTTGGTAAAGTTGTGAGTTCAGAAATAAGAATGACAAGCAGATCAACTATGTCTTTCAGGTAGACCCTGATCTTCTGACCCAGCACATTTCCTTGAACTAGAAACAAACTCTAAGGGCTTTTGGCATGCTTCTCACAGTTTTCCCTACCATAGAAGCTTAGTGGGAACCATTAGCAATCCCTGCCCACTGGGATGTTACAATCACAAACCTTTATTTATTTATTTATTTTTATTTGTTTGTTTATTTATTTATTTATTTATTTTGAGGCGGAGTCTCGCTCTGTCGCTCAGGCTGGAGTGCAGTGACGCGATCTCGGCTCACTGCAAGCTCCGCCTCCTGGGTTCACGCCATGCTCCGCCATGCCTCAGCCTCCCGAGCAGCTGGGACTACAGGCACCCGCCACCATGCCTGGCTAATTTTGTGTATTTCTTTCAGTAGAGACGAGGTTTCAGCGTGTTCGCCAGGATGGTCTCCATCTCCTGACCTCGTGATCCGCCCGCCTCAGCCTCCCAAAATGCTGGGATTACAGGCATGAGCCACCGCTCCCGGCCAATAATTACAAACATTTTTAAAGTAACTCTATTGAGACATAAGATATATATGGAATATGAATGTAATAAACAAATGCAACCACTGCAATGAAACACACCCCCATTTTAAGTGTACACTTCCAACAAATTTTAACACATTTTTATACCCATGTAACCATGATGACAATCAAGACACAAAACATTTTCCTCATCTCAAAAGTCCGCCACATCTCTTTATTGAGGTCTTGTTAATTTCTCTCAGCTTTGCTTTGTATTTTTTATTATACTGATCTTATACATATTTTCCTAAATTTTATTTTAATAAGATTATTATAAATGTACTCAATAAAAAATATTTTCTGCCAAGATTTCACATCAGCCTAATTCAATTTCATCTTTACATTTTTCAATTGACATCTCTACCTCAGCATATTACATAAAAATACCTTCTCCAGAAATTTCATATGGTGTGGAGCAACCATATGTGAGTTCACAGCGTCAGCCTCATTTACCATGTGAACCAATCAAGTGTTAGTCCTGTTCTGTTTCCAGGTAAAATATACTCATTCACATATATTGGAAAAGCTGTGAAATTTCTTGAAGGTGTACTTTAAGAAGAGGTACATTTTGTTAATGAAAGCATACCTATGAGTTAAGATTAATTAAAGGGAATATTTTGCAGTTAAGCACATGATTTGCAATGAGGGATTTGGGTGTTGCAGCCCTACGGGTCAAGCCTCCGAATTCCATCCTTGTTTCTCCCGTAGGCCACCTTCATCACGTCTAGAGTTCTACAACACAGAGTGTCAGTAGTAGGGAAGGTTGTTCATGTGAGAACGGGGAATACTTGGGATTCTGCAGTTTCTGCTCAACTTTGCTGTGGACTTAAAATTGCTCCAAAAATACAATTCACTAATTTAAAAATGGATACAAGTATTCAGATGGAGAATTACCATATTGGAGGCACGAAATGGGAACATACTGTTGAATCTGTTGCAATATAGGAAGGGTGTTAAATGACAAACTTTTTCATTATTTACTCCTTTATCTAGGAAATAGGACACTATTTAACATTGACTACAACGAGGATCTTAAATACAGTAGAACTGTCTAAATTCTATCAATAAGAATAGTATATATAATACCAATATTGGGATCTGAGGTGTCTCAGAATTAGTAACACATAGTACTATAGAGATTATTTTAAAACATAGTGTGGAGATAATTTTGTGATTCCATTTTAGGAATGCTATTTCTGATTACATGGTTTCTTAGCATAAAACCTCACTCTTTCATGCAAGAGAGTATATACTATCATACTATGTCCCTGTAGTTTTCTATTCCAATAATCCTCCTCTGGAATAAAATATACATGGTGATAATCATGATGATGATATGGATAATGATGAATATAACTGATAATGCAGACAGTATGTAGAAAGATAGATGATAGAATTTGTACCATGTTTCCAGGACTAGAATACAATCATGGTAAGTATAATATAATACCTGTTATAATTGAGGTCTGTAAACAGTCTAAAGAAGTAGTTTAGTTTTTTTCCCTTGACACTTTGACAAATCTGCAAACTACACATACAGGCTAAGTATTTCTGAGGCTATGTGAACTTCCTAAAAATCATCTCCTGTCTGTGGATTCCAGCATAATGCATACTGTCTTCTAAGGAGAAGTTTTTAACCTGGGATCCCTGGATCTCCAAGCAGTGCACAGATAAAATTCAGGGAACCCATAAATTTGAATGGGAAAATAGATCTTTATTTTAACTAATCTCCAACTGAAATATACCTTTCCTTCTATGATATAGTGAGTAAACCATAGTAGTTTTAGTAATACCAGTGACAAGATAAGTAACAGAAATCACAGACATTTGCTTATATGTTGCATAAATGACAGTTGATATAAAAGTCAGATATTTTCATATCATGTTACATGCAGTAAGTATAGCTTCATCACTATGTTGAAATCGTGAGTTTTCAGATTCACTAGGTTAGATTTTAATGAAATTTAAAGGTGTTCCTATATTAATATATGAAAAATTTAAAAAATATTTTGATATCTACATTTCAAAATAATTGTTTTTCTATATTCTAGTTTATGCATTTAAAACGTTGTTCTGAGATGGGGTCCTTAGGATTTACCAGTCTGACAAAGAGGTCCCTGGTACAATGTGAAGAACTCTTGGACACAGAAATAGATCCTCAACGCAGGCATGACTGACAACCTGAAGCCTAGTAAGCATTGGAAGCAGCCATGTTGCAAGCATTCTTTCTCAGAGTTTCACCCACACTGCTGCACCTCTTAATGCTTCTCACTTTAAATAATTACTTCACATTCTCTCTGTCTCTCTCTCCTGCTCTTCTTTTTCCTCTCTCTCTGCCTTCTGTTTTTCTTCTAGGAGGGAGCAGCAGCAACTTCTAAACCCCACCAGCTTGCAGCCAAAAGTTTCATCATGAAAGCATCTTTTAATTGCCGATAACCTCCGAAATAGAACAATATTTGTCTACCAAAACAAAAGCATTCATTAAGAAATCATCTAGGATCCTATTTTTATTTACTAAAGCTATTGGGAAGAACCTATGTTATACGATGAATTTAGGCTTATACAAATTTCTACGCAGTGTTGGAAAATGATACTTTAGTCAGCCGGCACAACCCTATGACTGTAAACGTCTGATTTCACTTGATATAGGATTGACTTCCTAACTTTCTGTGAATTAGAACTTCAGGTCCAGAAAGTAATAAGAGCAAACACAAATACAGTGTTTCTTATGTACTAAGAACTGTTCTAAATGCTTTATTTATGTAATGTTCATCACAGGTTTAGGGGTAGTTACTTATTATCTCAATTTTACAGATAAAGTCAAATTGAAGAGAGGCTCTGTTACTTTTCCAAGGTTACATAGCTGCTAAATGGCAGAGACAGGACTAAAGCCCATGCCGTCTCCCAAGTCCCTGCTCTAATCCCCTGTCACTAGGGGAGGGGCGCTTCAGACACTTTGCTATTCCTAAAATTACAGAAGTAGCCCCCACCCCATCTCTACTGTATTAATTATTTATAGTAAATACAGAGGGTGTAGAGAATCGGTTCTTAAAAAAAATAAAAATAAAAATAAACTTCCAAACCTCTTCCTGTGTTTAGTTGAGCACAAGTGCATAGCACCCTGTGTGTGACTCTGACCAGGAAATGAGGGATTGGCTCTTCTGACCATGCAGGAAGGCACTTGTCCATTTAGAAGGGATATAAAAAGCTTCTATAAGCAAAAAAGGAGGTGCATGTGACTTGATCTCTCTAATTCTTAGTCTCACCATCTGCAAAATCAGCCGTGACAATCAGTCATCACGTAGCACTGACAAGTTCTTTATATTAAGCCCCAGGGAGGGGCTAGATCTCAGCCCCTTCCCTTGGCCTCTCTCTCTCTTGCTCTCAGAGCCTGTGTCTGTAACTTCAGAGAGATTTTGTCACTGCCATAGGCAGCTGGGTCCTCTCTGCTGTGTGACCCTGTGTCTCCTGGGAGTAGGTGAGCTCAGCACACATCCGGTTGGTCAATTCCTATCCTGGGCTTGCCAGACCCCTCCCTGGCCAGCACCTCCCTTCTGGGCATGATCTGCAGCCTTTATCTCTTGGATCTTAGATGCAGACATCTATCAGATGCCATGTACTGGTACTCGCAGGACCCAAAGCAAAATCTGAGACTGATTTATTACGCAAGGGTTGAAACGGATATTCAGAGAGGAGACCTAACTGAAGGCTACAGTGTCTCCTGAGAGGAGAAGGGCCTGTTTCTTCTCATGATGAAGTTGGCGCACACCAGCCAAACAGCTTTGTACTTCTGTCCTGGGAGCGCACCACAGTGGAAGCGCAGCCATTGTCTCTCTGTGCAGAAATGTGTCCTAGTCCTACAGTCCCCACCGTATCCTCTAGCTTAATTTTTTCATTTTTAATATTTTCATGAGATTTTACTATGTCCTGTTACTTTTGGAAATATAAAAGATACAAAACTGAAAAGAAAATAGATCCTTTATCCAAGGAGCTAAGAGTTTAGCAAGAAAGTAATTACAATAGAATGGAAAATACAATATATATTACTATAATCCAAAGTCATTTGGGAGCTTAAGGGAGGACATGTGCAATTCTGTCTGATTGAATCAGAAAAAGCAAAGAGGAAGTCACATTAGAACTTCACCAGATAGACCTGGTTCTGAATAGGGCATTCTGGGCAAAGAGAACAACTTTTGCAAAGGCATATTAAAGAGTGTGACACTTTGGGGAACAGTTTACAAAGAGAAACAAGATGATCAATTTACATGAATCAAAAGAAATGGAATACATTTGAGGAAGTAGACAGAAAGGAGTTTTTGAAAAAGTTGAATTCTTGGTTCCATGAATATAATAAGTATGAAAGTCCTTTGTAGGCTGTTGCTCAAAAGAGAGAGCTGAAACTTGATTGTCATCAGCAGACAAGCAAACGATACAATTTTTTCAGTTTTCCTCATATAACTGTGATCATTTACAAAGGGCACAATTTCAAACAATATGAAATCATGTTAGCAGTGGCAGTTCCCATTTGGGGTAATAGGGTTCAACTGTCTATGAAACAATGAGATAAAAACTAGAAGTAGGCAACTGCATAGACAAGACGTGAAATTGAGAAACCATAAAGCTGGACTAGAGGTTGAGATTCTGCAGATTTCAGCATGTAAATAATTGAAGTATGGGGACAGAAAATTCCACCAAAATATAGATTTAGATCACAGAGATAAAATGCATGGAAATTAAGACTGTGGTATTCTGGTTCCTTATGGAGATTAAAGAAGCCTGAGAGTGAGGAGTGATTAGAACATGGGATGTAAAAACAGAAGAGGGAGAGAGTGAGGGTTTTGTTTTGTCTAGTATTTGACATTTCTAAGAAAATTAGGGAAAAAAATAAAGGTAACCCAGGCAGAAGAAGCCACAAACACTTCTTGGGTAACAGGGAATAGTCAGTAAAATGTTGTATGTTAGTTTACTGAGGTGAACAGAACCTTTTCCATTGAAGTTCCTTTTGGGAAGACATAAGACTTAGCTAAGATTCCAAGAAATCACCAAAGTAGGAAATGAAAAGCCTCCATGAATGAAGTTGCATGAGTCTGCCTACCAGTGGATAAAGGACAGGATAAAAGAATAGCTGCAAAGGATAAAAGAATAGCTGAGGCACTGAAGTAGAAGCTTCAAGTGAGAGGACTAAATATAACAAACATGAAGAATTATTACAAAACCACAATAATAAAAGTGGTGTAATATAGGGGCACTGATATATAAATAGATCCAAGGGAAAAAATACACATGCATAAACACACAGCAATGGTACTGCAATAATCAAAGAATATATCTTTCAACAAATGCTGATGGGAAAATTGGGTATCTATACAAAGAAAAACAAGTGCAATCGGACACATCTCAATACATAGCCAAAATCAATCCCAGCTCTATTAAAAGCATAATTGTAATAAAGTCACAAGGCTTCTAGAATACTGTATAATATAAGAGCACATCTTCATGGTCTTAAAGAAGGGAAAGATTTCTTATTCCCTCAATCAGTAGGGAACAGATTGATAAAAATCACTATATACAAATTAAGATATTGAATTTATCAAAGTTAATTATATAAGAGTGACAGGATTGACTGTATAGTGACATATCATTAAATATATATATATATTTACAACAAATTAATATCTCTATCTATATTTATATATTCAAGAAAAGCTAATATATATAATTTATTTTTTAAAAACCTACAAACTAATTTTTCTACAGATCAATGAGAAAAAGGTAAGTGTCAACAGAAAAAGTGAGTGAAAACCATAAGCACCTAGCAAAATCTCACTGGTCATTAAACATGTAAATGTTGCTAAATTTAATAATCAGGGAAATAGAAATTGAGTCCTATGAAATATATATCCACAAGAATGGCTACGATGATAAAAATAGTAATCTATTGAGTGTTGGCAAGGCAAAGTGTCAACAAGAACTCTCTGCATCACTGGCTAGAGTGTATACAGGTGGATCCATGCTGGAAAACAATTTGGCATTATCTAGTAAAGTTCAACGTGTATGTACCCACTATCCATCAATTCCACCCTTGAGAAAGGCTTTTCTAGAGAAACCCTTCTACAAAAATCAGGGCAAGAATATTCACTGTAATACATCTGTAATAGCAAAAAATGTATAAAATATCCAAATGTAACTTAACAGAAGAATAGATCCCGGTCATTATAAAGAAATTACTCAGTAGTGAAAATTCATGAATTAAAATTAAACACACAAACATGAATGAATTTCACAAATTTGAATGAAAAATTACACTGCAGAAGAAAAGTACAGCATTGTCTCATTTGTGTAAAGTTTGAAAATGTGTAAAACTAAACACTATTTTGTTTGCTTTTGTGGCTATGTATTAAAATATAAAAGAGAAGCAAATAATTACAAAAACAAACACCTCAATAGAGTTAGAGAACAGAGGCATGGAATCTGGGAAGAGAAATAAGAGCTTTCAAATGTTCTGGTAATATTTTATTTCCTGTGCCAAGTTGTTTTTGTAAGTGATCATTCTTTGGTATGTTATCAAGTTATTATCTATATATTCAAAGTCAATTTTGTAATGTGGAGAAAACAACCTCACTGAACAATTAAACAAATAAGGAGAAATCTATGGAAAGATATACATTAAGCTGTTAACATTACTTACCTGAAATGAGGATGAGATGGAGGAAGAAAAAAGTGAAAAAAAAAATCATCAAAAAATACACTATTTAAAATAAATAGTTACAGAGAGAAAAAGCAAAAAAGGGAGGTTATCTAAAAGAAACATTAGTAAATGAACAAGCTAAAATACACCAGAAAGAGCTAGAAAGTGAAGTATTTTTCAAAGCAGTGCCTAGTTTCAGTATCATAAAGATAGTAATTACAACATAGGTATGTATTATACAAAAAGATAATTAGATAATTAATAGCCAGAAGGAATGCCCAGTCTTGAGTTAGAAACTGATGCTCAAATTAATGGCAAAGGACATTTTTGAAACAACTGTGAAACTTTGCATAAAAACTAAATAGTAGATAAGATGAAAATGCATTGATGAGAAAGGATGATGATCATTAACTGAAAAAAGCTTATCAAACAGAATTTCAAGAATATTGTTTATAAAAAATAATGTGTCTATATATCTGCACATTTATATATGGAGGGAGAGAGGGATCTAGAAAGACCCGCACTAAGGTGTTAACAGTGATAATTGCTTTCCGGCAGTGGCATCATATTTTTATTTTGTTATTTTATTTTCTAAAGTTCTAAAATATCAGTGCATTGCTTATATTAGCAAAAACAGACATAAAGTATTTTTAAATGAATACAAAACAATTTAGTTATGTTTACTGAGTTAGGATAAAAGCTTTTTTCCCCGATACCATAAAGTGTTTTTGCTCAGGAACATGAAGCAATAACATGATGATTTTAAGTCTGTGGAGGGATCACGTCAAGAAGGTGCAGAGAGGGCATCAAAAGCCTCATCCCTTTGCGATGTCAGTGTGACCATGGGCACCAGGCTCCTCGGCTGTGCAGCCCTGTGTCTCCTGGCAGCAGGTGCGCCCCGAGCACAAAAGAAAAATCCTTGTCCTTGGCTTGCCAACCCCCAAATCCAAGCTTTTGTTTTGTTTTGTTTTGTTTTTTAAGCTCTTTCCTGGACTCTTTCTACAGCATCTGTTTCTTTCTCTTACAGGCTCTTTTCATGCCGAAGTCACACAGACTCCAGGATATTTGGTCAAAGGAAAAGGACAGAAAACAAAGATGGATTGTACCCCCGAAAAAGGACATACTTATGTTTATTGGTATCAACAGAATCAGAATAAAGAGTTTACATTTTTGATTTCCTTTCAGAATGAACAAGTTCTTCAAGAAACGGAGCTGCACAAGAAGCGGTTCTCATCTCAATGCCCCAAGAACCTACCTTGCAGCCTGGAGATCCCGTCCTCGGAACCAGGAGACACCGCACTCTATCTCTGTGCCAGCAGCCAATCCACAGCATTGAAATGTCAGTTCCTCTTAGCACACAAACTTGTCACAGGCCCAGCTCAGGAAGCGGGTGATGTATTAGGTTGGAACAGAGTAATAGAAAGTAACTGTAGCCAGTTTAAGCCACAGTGGAATTTAACACAAGGATAAAGCGTGTTTAGCAACAGTCAAGAGGCGAGGGACAGACAGTTCTGAAAAGGCACCCTAGGGCTGGGCTCTAGAATGACTCTCTCTCCAGCTCTGATTTTTCTTCAATTTTGGTTGCTGCATGCTTTTATCTCCCGTACACCATCTCTTTCTCTCCAGGCCTCATGGTGAGAATGAGATGGTCACTAAAGATTACAAATTCAGTTGCCATCATTTCCCTACGCTGATAAACACCAGCCCAGCTCTTTCTAAGCCTGAGTTCAAAATCCCAGCAGAAAAAACCAGATCGGTCATGATCCAGCCATGAACCTTCTCATAGAGCACTCAGCAGTAGGCATGTATGTATGTATTTAAAATCACATAAATGTTACTTTTCCACTCAGCTCAAGCAAGGGAACTGCTCGGTTTTTCTATATGTACATTCGGTCTGTTGCTTCTATATGATAGAGAGTACTCATATCCATGTCTTCAGAAACACCCAGATTTTCTCCAGTTTCCTGCCAGAATTGAAAATTCTTGCACAAATACCTTCATAGACTTGTATGATTGCTTATAGGATTATATGCCCAGAGCAAGTCATGATTGCTGAGACATGGAATTCTATGCATATTTTATCTATTTAAATACCACCATGGGTTCTTCAGGATCACTGTACACATCTGCAATCCCACATAAAAGTAAATGGGGTGTTTTCCTACATCCTAATATCTCCTATAATCCTTATCCAGTAATCTAGATTGTTCTCAGTCTAGCAATGTAAAGAGATTCCAATCTCTTTCTCTCTCCACCCACCCCCATCCCCGCCCCACTCACCCACTGCCAGAATATCATCAGAGTTTACCGTAAAGATATACAGGTGACAATTTTTTTTAAACTAAATAAACCAATAATTTAAAGGAATTGAGAGATTAGTTTATACCACTATAATAATAACTGGCAACAATCTAGAAAGCTGAATAATGTTCTCTCCCTCCTTTTCTTTCTCTTGCATTTTTCTAATTACTAATGAGTTTGAGCACTTCTTCATGTGATAGTGGTCCTGGATTTCTGTTCTCAAAATGGTCTATCCATATCCTCAGGCAAATTCTCTATTGAGAGTTCTATATTTTCCTCAACAATTTGTAGGAGGTCCTGAGATATACAAGATAATAGTCTCCTTTTTTGAAATGTTAGGCACTGGAAATACCACCACCCAATATGGCACCACTCCTGTCCCAGACTTCAAAGAATCAGTAGATGTGGGAGGAACCAGGTGGTCTCTTACCTTAGCAGGTGCATGCATGTTATCTCCATTATGTGAATGATACTTCTATCTTTCACTTCCACTCTGCTGAATGCTCGACATTCTGTCTCTTCCATTATTACTCATGTCTTTAAGCAGCATAGAAAAGTTACCAGCCATGGCTGTCCCCAAACCACTATCACCCACCAATAACCCTTTCCATCCAGAACTTCTGAAAAAGTGCTTCACTCCATTTTGCTGTGCTTTTTCACAATCTGGGGTAAATTTGATTCAAATTAATTCGTATTGCTCTTTTCTAAGTGGGTTATGCTGTCTGGTTATAGCAAAGGACAGAAAAATTTCACACATCTTTTTGGAAGGCTTAATACTTGCTCACACATTATCTCTTTTAGGGCCAAATTCCAGCCACTGCAAACACCAATCTCCTTGAGCTCTTGATATGACAGCTAATCCATTTTGATTCCACAAATGCTTGCAGAGCAACTCCCATTCACTGAGACATAAAGGCATTGAGAAACTATCAGCTACACTACATGGAATTTTGGTCTCTGGGGAAAGAGAGTAGAGTAAAAAGAACCATAAAAATGTATTTCAAATAATGTGTATAAGGATGACAAAACATAGATTACTTTCATGGAAAACATTAGAATATTATATTCTCTTTGGGAGGATTTATCAGTGGATAAATTAAAACAAATTCTTGAGGAAGTTTGGGAAAAAAAACAAATTTAAGGAAAACAAATTTTAAATGATATCCTGAAAACCATCAGGGTTTACCATAAAGATAACAATCTAAAAAAATCAAACAAACAATTTAATAGTGAATGAGAATATGAATACAGAAAATTCATATGAATATGGAATGAAATATTAGTAAAAATATGTTTGAGAACACTTACAAATGAATTTTGTTGTCCAATTTGATTACGAGTCTAGTCAAAGTGTTAGTCTTTTAAACTACTTATAATAGTGTCAGTTTGAGAATATACAACAAAACTTTTAAAATGTTTATTTTGGGAATTTGGCTTTAAATAAAAATAGTTAGTTATTACTGTACTTGTTCTATTGCCTTACACCACTATAAAACTTGACAAAAATTGTAAGACAACTATTTTCAGACATCAGACAACAGGCAGTACAGGGTCGCCATCACTGGGAAAGAAGAAACCTAGAAGGGGAATTTCACTATTGTCCTGAGACTGCCTTGACATGATTTCTGGGCTGCAGCACAAGGACGTAAAGCCCAAGCAGGGGGCAGGGGTCTGTCCAGCAGAGGGAGGCAGAGATTGAGTTCAGAGCTATGGCCATGGCTGATAGTGATAGGGATGAGCTACTGAAGAGAAGGAAGCTATGCAGAATAAGACCTCCAAATGTTGTATGAGGTCCCCTCAAATCTTTAGTCAAAAACTAAGCAGAAAATGCATGGGAAACACCTCCATAAGACCTGGCAGAGAGCAGTTGCTGGGTAGCTGTGAGAGAAATAGAGATTCTGACAGTTATATGAACATGGGAGACATGAATCCTGACTGGGCAGAGCTGAGAGGGCTTGCTGAAACCCCTGGGAATGCAGCTGGCGCCACATAGGGGTCACATCTCAAGAGAAGGACTACCAAAGTCCTAGAGTAAACCACTCCAGAACTGCCCTAACAAAGCTCAGCAAGTCTCAAAAGGATCTCGTTGATCTGCCAATAAGTTCACTGCCTTTTGAAGAAAAATATCTCAGCACTCTCTAAATAAAAGCAAATATATACATATATATAAAATCTGTAGATATACGTGTCTATGGAGAGATATGTATCTCTAGAGTGTCAACAATGTAGCATCTACAATTTCGATCTTGAAATGAAAAATATATTAAACATGGGAAGAACTAGGAAATGTTACACATGGGGAAAAAATAAACAATAAAAACTAAAATCCAACCCTGAAATAACACAAATGTTGGACATTTCAAATGAGAATTTTTGAGCAGTTATTATAGAAATATGTTCAAGAATTTGGAGGAAAATATGGTCATGATTTAATCAACTGATGAAATTGATTAACCCATAGCAATCAAGACAAAAAGGTGAAAGACACAAATTACCATATCAATGATGAAGGAAATCATATGTCTATAGATACAAAAGACATTAAAATAGTGACAGAATATTGTAAGTATATGCAATACATTATTCAACTTAGATGGAATGAAGTTACTTGAATAACACCACCTACCAAAATGATTCAAAATGAAATAAGAAATGTAAAGAACTTCAAATGAAGGAAGCTAAATTTTTTATCAAAAACCCTCTCTCAAAGGAAACTCCAGACGCAAATTATTTCTTCATGAATTCCATTTTAAAATTAAGGAAAAAAGACTATCAATCTTACATAAACTTTTTCAGAAAATAGAAGAGGAAGAAACACTTCACAACACTTTTATAAACCCAGCAAAACCCTAATGCCAAAATCTGTCAAATGCACCTTTGCAGTATCTTTTATGGCTGTACATGAAAGAAAACTTTTCACAATATATTAACAAATTAAATCCAAATATGTCTCAATAAAATACTGGCAAACTGAATCCAGGAGCACATCAAAAAGCTTATCCACCATGATCAAGTTGGCTTCACTCCCGGGAGGCAAGGCTGGTTCAACGTATGCAAATCAATAAACATAATTCATCACATTAACAGATCTAAAGACAAAAACCACATGATTATCTCAATAGATGCAGAGAAGGCCTCCAATAAAATCCAACATCATGTTAAAATCTCTCAATAAACTAGATATTGAGGAACATACCTCAAAATAATAAGAGCTATTTATGACAAACCCACAGCCAATATCATACTGAATGGGCAAAAGTTAGAAGCATTCCCCTTGAAAATGAACACAAGACAAGGATGCACTCTCTCATTACTCCTATTCAACATTACTATTGGAAGTTCTGGCCAGAACAATCAGGCAGGAGAAAGAAATAAAAGGTATTCAAATAGGAAGGGAGAAAGTCAGATTGTCTTTGTTCGCAGATGACATAATCCTATATCTAGAAAATCCCACTGTCTCAGCTCAAAAGCTTCTTAAACTGATAAGCAGCTTCAGCAAAATCTCAGGATACAAAATCAAAGTACAGAAGTCACAAGCATTTCAATACATAAACAACAGGCAAGCAGAGAGCAAAATCATGAATGAACTCCCATTCACAATTGCTACAAAGAGAATAAAATGCATAGGAACATAGCTAACAAAGGAAGTGAAGGACTTCTTCAAGAATAACTACAAACCACTGCTCAAGGAAACCAGAGAGGACACAAACAAATGGAAAAAGATTTAATCCTCATGGATAGGAAGAATCAATATCATGAAAATGGCCATATAGAACATAGTAATTTATAGAGTCAATGCTATTCCCATTAAACTACCATTGACATTCTTCACAGAATTAGGAAAAACTATTTTAAAATTCATATGGAACCAAAAAAGAGTCCAAATAGCTAAGACAATCATAAGCAAAAAGAACAAAGCTGGAGGCATCATGCTACTGGACTTCAAACTATACTATAAGGCTACAATAACCAAAACAGCATAATACTGGTACAAAAACAGACACATAGACCAATGGAAGAGAGTAGAGAACTCAGAAATGATCACACATCTACACATCTGATCTTCAACAAACCGGACAAAAACAAGCAATGGGGAATGGATTCCCTATTTAATAAAAGGTGCGGGGAGAATTGGCTAACCATTTGCAGAAAATTGAAACTGGACCTCTTCCTCACACCTTATACAAAAACTAAATCAAGATGAATTAAAGACTTACATGTAAAACCTAAAACTATAAAAACCCTAGAATAAAA